TCAGATCGCATTGCGCAGATCCCGCTGCGTTTCGAAATCCGATGTCGGGTTATGTCAACAGACGCCGCTCGATTTCTACCGTCGATCTGCCGTCAGATTCTGTCGGCATACTCCGTTACATTTTCATCGGAGTTCTATCAATCATCGGATATAACAAATTCAAACGCGTCGAGTCTAACCGCCGACAAAATTTGTAACCTCGCAGTTCTCGATAGACTCTGTCTAACGACAGCCTGTCGGATTTACCGGTTTAGCATGAAGATATCTATTCATCCACTGACAGCTGATCCAACGGCGGCCTGGCATGAATTATCTCAACATCAGAAAGTTGTTAAGATAACTGCTAAAGTGCCGACGACTGAGGCACCGAGCGATAAAGTACGTCCAACGATTCTCAACATTCAAAAAAACAAAAATTTTCGATAGAGATACCTTCGCTTTAACCTCAAAAAGTTTCATTTGATATCCGCTTTTCATCGATATAGATTGACTTTTGATTTCGGCTCGATTTGTTTTTTGTTTTTCTAATTCTAAAAATCAGATAAAAAATAAAGAATAAATTAAACTGAGATGACAATTTAGCGGACATTAATAGAAATAAATGTTATATTACACATTTTAATATTATTGATTACATACATAGGCGGAGAATTTAGTTTTTCTATAATTTCGTCAAGAAAAGAATTGAGAAAAAGGAAAACTGCGCATGTTTAATGACAAATTTTCATTTTTAGTTGCGCGTGGTATGCATGAGCGATACGCATTCGCTTACGCCGTACATAAAATTCGATATTCCCATGGGAGATGTCTTTATCCATGCTGGGGATTTCACGAAATGTGGTAGCCTGCAGGAAGTCATAGAATTCAACAATTGGATAGGTAGATTATTATATGTACTGATTGATATACTATAGCATAAGATATGTTAATTAATATATCATGTTATTTTAGGTAACTTGCCACACAAACACAAAATAATTATAGCTGGCAACCATGAACTCAGTTTCGATCCTACGTTCACAAATCCTTTTTCCGTGCACACCAGTGGAGATCATCAAAAACATACAGGGACCAGTATACTCGACAATATACCTACCCTGGGTATGTCAAAGGATGCTCTTGCAGAAGCTATTAAAACTACTAATATTAAGGATTATTTGACAAATTGTACATACCTAGAAGATTCTGAGATTACAGTGCACGGGATCAAGATATACGGTACTCCATGGTAAATATCAGTTGTGATAAATAATTAAATAGTGAGTAATGCATGTCAAATATTTATAGAAAAATCAAGAATGCCAAGTTTGTAAGTTTTCTAATTTAATGTTTGGATATTCTAAATAAATGAGAAATAAACGAGAAATAAACGAGTGTTATATAAACTTGAAATCTACAATAAACAATCGATGTTTGCTTTTTTCGAACATACTATGCGAAATATTTGTAGAAAATAATTTCAGGTATAAGAGATTCTTATTTCTGAGGGACATTTCGTTGAAACTTTAGGCAACCGGAGTTTTTGTAAAATGGGCGTTTAACGTGCCACGCGGAGAAGCATGCCTCTCAAAAATGGGAAAATGATTCCATCAGATACAGATATTCTTGTAACGCATACTCCACCTGTAGGTCACGGAGACCTTTGCTGCACTGGCGTGCGAGCTGGATGTGTCGAATTATTGTCGACGGTGCAGAATCGAGTGAAACCCAAATATCATGTGTTTGGTCATATACACGAAGGTATAACGGATATTTGCATTAATACATGGGGATATCTTCTCTATGTTATATAATTTTATCTTGTAGGATATGGAATATCTTCAGATGGCAAGATAATATATATTAATGCCTCGACATGTGATCTAAATTATCTGCCAAATAATCCACCTATAGTATTTGATATAACATTACCATCTGGTATTCAGAAATCATAAATCAGATGTGATATATAACACCAATGTACATTACATCGCATAATGCTACAGCATCAGGAATCTCTCACGAACTCGAAAAAACTCGTGAAATTAAATAGTGATTTCTTACCTTAACTTTTAAATCATAATGTATGTATAAAGTATGTAATATATAAGCATTAATTCTTGCCTTTCTTTTTCATACGATTTATAAAACGATATAAATTAAGATATAATTCAAATTGTGATCTCTTTCTAAATAAAAATAACTTATTGATTACATATTTCTCTAAATTTTTCATTGATTACATATTTTCTCGTAACATAAAATTTTCATCATCTGTTTCCAACTTGTTATATTTCGATATTGTTTTAATAGAATTTGAAAAATGGAATCGATAGAATCTATTGGAAATATGATACTTTTGAGGATATCTGCATATATTTTCTTAAATTTTTATTAGTAATAAAAAAACCATTTTTACTTTTTATTTATTTATTGTAATACCCAATCGAATAACAAATGGCACTTTCTCATTGTGTGAGAGAAAATTCGATATTGATATAGTAAGTCATCATAATCATATTAAGCTAAATTCACAGATTGGTCTGCGCGAAGTTGTTTCGCTGAATAAAATCAGAATTTGTTTTTTTATTCGAGCGCTACAAATTATTTATAATCATTTCAATTTTAATATCGCCATTATGAATTATGCTTGCGTTCGATTAATGCCATTTTTCTATCGTGTACACAATAATTGCAGGCAATGTGATGAGCACATTCTAATTAAACCACAAAAATTTAAACTACGTAATTTTTTTGGTGCATAAAAAAATTTGTATATGCGTATATAGCAGATCTAAAATTGATTTTATCTGATATCCGTAGTGATAAATTATACTACGTGATCATTATGTATACGTATTAAAAACACAATTTCAATCAGTTTACAAAATATTTCAATTCATTAAATTACTAATGATTTCATTATTGTAGATGGACTCTTTTGTCATTTTGTTTTAAGTCGAGATAGATAAGAAGATTGCTATGTATAAATTGTACAGAGTTAAAGCTGCAATTCTCTTCGATCACAACAAAATTCTAAAGCATTATGCATCTTTTCTACTGTTCGGAAAAATTCGTAGAATGCTATTCAAGTTAAAAAAAAAAGAAACACCTTAGTATCTAAATACCTAATCATCTAAAAGTTCATCGTTTCGTGTTCTGAATCGATTGATCTCATGTCTATTAGAAATTGATGAAAAAAATAAAACAAATATAAATTTCAATGGAATCAGGATACATACAGAATATGTATCTGATTAGCAGGTAGATGAAGTAGTCTTTAACTAACAATAACAATAAACAAATGTAAAAAGAGTATGTTCTTCTTACACAGTTTGAAATAGCTTACGGAAGATTTTCATCTAATAGGGTACATTTGAAAACAGGTACGAAACAGATTCGCCATTGTGTGTTCGCCTTACCGCTTCGGCAAACATCATCGAGACATCAATACACTAAAAGATAAAAGCTAATAAATTCTCCATGTCGTGATTAAATTCAATGGTATCGTCATCGCGATAAGAATTTTATGTCAGGATTTCTCTAGTATAAAAAAAAATTACCTGAATCTTTGGGCAATCTTTCATGTGACCATCTTGAGGAATAGTATTGGTCACTACCACAGCCTCGAAGCAAGCATTGTTAATCCTATTAATTGCCGGTCCACTGAATATACCGTGTGTAAGTATCGCATAAACCTTTGTGGCGCCAGCTTCCAATAATTTTTCCGCCGCGTGACAGATGGTACCGCAGGTATCAGCCATATCATCTACGAGAATCGCAACTCTGTCCTTGACGTCTCCGACTAACACCATGCTCGCGACTTCATTTGCTTTTTTCCTCTCTTTATGTATAAGCGCAAACTCAACGTTTAATCGATCAGCGATGGATGTGACCCTGCAAAATAAAAAAAAAAAAATAATATCTTTTCCAATAAAATTATTTTCTTTCCTTGATTATTCACCTTTTGGCACCGCCGGCGTCAGGAGAGACAATGATACTGTTTCGCCATTCAACGATATTTTCCTTAATCCACTTGAGGACAGCTGGCTCGGCGAATAAATTGTCGACTGGTATATCGAAAAATCCTTGAATCTGACTAGCATGTAGGTCCATTGTGATAATATGATCAGCACCCGCGACGGAAAGCATATTTGCAACCAGCTTGGCAGAGATGGGCGCACGGCTCTGTAAAATACGTTTTGATAGATAAATTTAGAGAATTCGTACGAGTCCATCAAGTCCATTTGCAACTGGAAATAGCCTGCAATTTAAAGAAATTGCTATTAAAGTCCCTTAAAAGCATACCGAAAATACTCGAGAAATTGGAAACAATTATATAGTTTATTTTGCTACCTTTTGAGATAGATATATAAAAAGCTTTTAGCAAGTATATTAATTTATCTCAAGAGACTGCCTGTATTGGCTTTTTGGAATATATACATTTACTAAATATTCGAAAAGATTTTCTTTAGAGGGGACAAAATATGAATACAATGGCCATGTACTAAAATATTACTTTGCACAAGATATATCTATTCATAAAATACATTTTCAGGGAAACGATGTTGCAAATGCACCCCAGTTAGACTCTCAACTATCATAAGTGAAGCAAAATATTTAAATTATAAACGCAAAACAGAACACAATGCATCTCAATCCTTTGTCCTCATGTAGCAAAGGATAGATGAACAAGAGGGCAAACATTGGTGACAGATACGCAATATATATGGATAAATATATATAGTAAAGATTTCTCTAAGAAACAAATATATCAATGTCACGAGTGCATCTCTAACATTATATGTGCAAAATTGCATAAAAGAAAATTTTTATAGTTTGAGAATTAAGGTACATCTGTATTAGTATACTGTCGTCAACACAGAGAAATGCATTGTGCAAGTGAATGGAATTTTTTAGTAAATCAGAGTATTTGTAAAATGAGTATAAAGTTTATCAAAGTTATTGATCATTTCAAGATACTACCAACAATTATCGACAAGACAAGTTATCACCAAGACATTGACATTCCTATGCTATTTAAGCATTAATAGGATAGACAATACTTGATTAGTGCATTTGGACAATAACACTTATTCCAAGCTTCAGTAATTAGTACCCGAAACATACATATGCGTACCCCATTATACTAATTGCCAACGTATTGCTATTATATTAATATTTTGCCCTCTCATTCGGATATCAATATGCTTTGACCAAATGTTTCATTCATTCATTCATTCATGGGGATACCACTGTACTGTGTAGCAACGATATAAGTTTGGTTAGTCCTACAAAGAAAATTCTTGTCTGAATTCCAAAATAATATTACAAATCGAATAATTGATCGAGTTATCATTGCAAACGCTGCACTCGACAATCTCGTTGTTATTATACTCACTGTAGGCAGGTCGGGCAGAATATCCTGAAAATACCCAATTATTCAGAAAATAATGTAATCAGAACTTTTTGTTTTCCTAACAAACATTAGTCAGTAAGATATTTTTTTTCTTATCTCTTTTCGTTTTGTTGTATAATCTAAAGCTATGACAAACATTAGAGCTGATAACTTTCAACAGGAGGCGATATGAAATTGTACAATTTTTGATCGCCTTTTCATGCAATACCCAATTAATATTAAGAGGTGCTCATTTTTGTTATATAAATATATAAAAAATGTCATAACATCAATGTCGTAAATTTAAATTTAAGATAAACATATTAAATAAACATAATATATATAACAAAAAATTTAAATACATAACATTTATAATATATAATGTATAATAGAATTAATGAAATAAAAAGTATATCTTGTATAATTATTATACCGCCTTGACAACAAAAATGTGCAGAAGACCTCCCTTGAAGAAATCTAACACGAGTTTTGCAACTGCTGTTTGGGTTATCCGACTTTTGATAACCTTATGTCATTATGAACAACATGCTTAAAACGTATGCATTTGCAGTATTTAAAATTCTAAAATATTTGCTATTTACCTCGTTACAAACATTTCATATTACATCAAGTAATATAATGTTAAATAAAAATTATAATTCTATAATTTTGGATAACGTAATATTATAATTATCTATATTCTTGTCCGTATCTTATGATGATATGCACATGTTGATACTAAAAAGCAATGAGTGTTTAAAATAAAACTTGATATGACGTAAATCTGATTAAACACAACTTGTACAAGCGTAACTCATGCTTGATTTGTAATATGAGATTTATATGTTATTGTTATATAAATGATATAGTTCATTTATAATCACGACTTTGATGATTTCTACAAATAAAATATAAAATGTTATTACAAATCTCACTTATAATTCATGCACATTTTGATTATATTATTCTTGTATAATTAATAATATTATCCCTATATACACTTATAAACTATATATTCTAGTTTCACCATTTGCTCTTCACATGATACATTTAAAAAACATTTAAAAAAGATTAAATTTCTAAGTCATCATATATCATTTATATAAAAATTATTCTTATATTTACAATTTAATGCTTGCAAATCATAAACGAAAATATCCAATTAATATAAAAAAAATTGATATTTTGTTAATTTTAATTTTGTTTAGTAAAAGATATCTCGAATATTAGTATATCTTAAAATACATAAAAATAAAATAAGTTGCATAATCAGCGAATGGTGAAGATCCTGTAAACTAAGTATATTATCTGGTGCAGCCCAATAACATAAAGCCGGCGGAATATAAGCGTACTTCATATGAGAATGAGATCGAATTTTGCGTTTCAGGAATGATATTACTCCATTGGTCTGTTGCAAAGCTATGAAAGAATTAAAAGTAAAACGGATAAAAAAGACCGCTGCAAGTTACCCTGAATTTCCACTCGTTCGACTTCATGACAATCTGATTTTTAGAGTCTCCACCATCACCGCCCTGTGAAGATATAGCACATTAAAGAAATATAGAACTTCTTCTTCTTCTTCTTCTTACAGACAATATCCTCGCTTATCGTGCTTGTTGTCTTAACTATTAAAATCTCAATATAACATTGAATAACAGATATTAAAATACATATTACAGAATTTAAATTTGTATTACACATATTATAAATAAAATAGAATTACATCGTATATATCAATACCATTGTAAGATAAAGATAAAATATTCTTAAGCAACAACATTCAATCTGTGACTTAAGCAGAACGAATTAAGCACTCAGAACGTAATTTAATAAATCTGCTATTGTGAAAACTATTAATAAGTTAAGTAAGACTTGTGTGAGAAATTGTGTGCTATCTCATCAAGTTAGAAAATGCATTGCAATAATTTAAAAATATTTCATCAGATCGGGATCATAATAAGACGAGAAATTCTAATAGCATATATTCACTACCTGTAACCACACTGAGGCACACCTAAATCCTGTTGGAAAGATTGCCAAGTTCATACGTTATATTTTTTGAGAAATGCTTATGAATATAAGCCATGCCGCTAGTTCTTAAATATTACATAAGAGGAAAGATTAATATGTAAATATTACATTCAAAGATAGATTGTAATTATGTTAATTCTCAAACGCATATTAGTAATTAATGTTAAAGAAAAAATATAATGAATTGCAGCTTTCAATATATACATATATGTATACTTTATGTTGATGTAGAATTATAGAAATGTATAGGCTGCAATGATTATATAAGATATTTAGACATTACAGATATACGTCTCAATTAGTGGTTTAAGCGTTGTATAACTTAAGAATGGAATGTTTTATGTACAAAATTAAAAGAGAAACAGAACTGTTCTATAGCATTAATAAGATACAGGAAAAATGTAATTGCTAAGTTGAGAGCTTAGTAATAGAAAATCTCTATGAAAGCATTTTTAATAAAATAACATTTGTTTCAAACATAAACTTCTTATTGTAAATGTATATATTATATATTTGCTATTTATTTCTTATACGAATTTATGTATCATCTCATGTAATATTTTATAAAGGTACAAATAGCTTAACATCGCTGATTCAACATCGCCAATGCAATCTCAATGTCAGCGTTAATTTAAAAAAAAATATTTTACAAGAGCAAATATAATACAAACTAATCAAAACATCACAGATAAAATACAATACTAAATGGGATATTAGATTTGTTCGTTGATGGCTCAAATGTATGAGTTTGAAACATCCAATTCTTGTATCAACATATCACACATTTATCCATTATAGGAAAATTAATTTTTTATAATTTTATATACTACTAATAACAATGGCCCTTAATTGCTTCTTTTTCATATCTTTTTGATATTTTATTAAATAGGATATTAATTTGATTTTATTGGAAAAATGTATGAGTTTGAAACATCCAATTCTTGTATCAACATATCACACATTTATCCATTATAGGGAAATTAATTTTTTATAATTTTATATACTACTAATAACAATGGCCCTTAATTGCTTCTTTTTCATATCTTTTTGATATTTTATTAAATAGGATATTAATTTGATTTTATTGGAATATACCTGTACTTGACATAAACTTAATTATAAACTTATTATAAAGTATAATAATTTAAAAATTAGTTTTATTTAAATATACCTCGTTGAACTGCTTATAGAATATAAATACATATGAACAAAAAAATACTGATTATTCAATCCCTTTACTTACCTTATCTTTCTTATCCTGCCTTGCATAAGGGAAACAAGGAATAACTGCTGTTACACGAGATGCAGAAGCAATTTTGCAAGCATTGATCATGATCAGGAGCTCCATGAGATTATCATTCACCTCGCCGCTTCCACTTTGTACGATGTATACATCTTCTCCACGAACAGATTCTCCTATCTCCACGCTAAACATTAAATGTGTTACTTCTTATGATCTTAGAACAGGAAACAAAACTTGGAATAAGGTACATTCAGGGAGACCCTATTATCACATTATTTTATTCTTGATTTATGTCTAATAAACTTTAGATTAGAATGATATGGTAGTTACTAATAGGCGCGTTCCTTGATCGCAATCTAGAGAGATTTTTTATTAAATTCTTAAATTAAAGGATAATTAGGATATTAAAGAATATTAAGTTAAAATTATCGATGGTATCATTATGAAATTATGAATATTCCCACGGGATGCAAAATCCGAATTTCTTCGCATTAAATGTGTGAAAGGAGATCGTAATAGTTTTCTCATTTCATTATCATTTGCGGCATGAAAATCGCGAATATGGTGAGTGTTCGTGGGTTCACGTGTTGCGTTCGTTTCTGGAAGCGTCGGCACGAACCGACGCTCGCGGCGTGCGAGCGTCGAGTTAGAAAAGCGTCGCTTTCATGTGGAAGAGCGGGATCGGTCTCGAGAAGTTCTAGCGAAATTGACACGGCGCCCGTCCACCCTCATGTTCATGGAGAGATATGCGATGAACGGCGTTCAGAACGGCGGGAAACACGCGATAGCAAATTTATGCGGCCCCACGCGCGATGACACGTGGTCGGCCGCCTCGTCTCACGCGGCTGACAATGGGAAACGTGGTCACGCGGTGGCGCGGGATAGCAGCGACCATTACCATGTCTCGAGATTGCTGAATTTCTTCGTGACAACCTTGCCGATGTCGATGCCAAGGCGATCCACGATCCGCTGGGCGAGATCCGGGTGTGAAGTCCCGCTGAAGACCTTGATGTTCGGCATTCTGCTCTGCAAGACCCGGACCCGTGAGTTTTCCAAGTTTGCGCGTAACAAACTCTTGGCACGCACTGGCTGCGACACAGGCATCACTACAACAGAAAGCACCGGGGCAGTCGGCCAATCGGTGATCGCGCGCGTACCGGACGTGACGTCGCGCTGGATCACGCTCCGCCTACGCGCGCGCGGGGATGTCGAAGCGCGTTGAAAGTGTGGAGCGGGGCGACCTTATCGCGCGCGACGTTCGGCCCCCTTTTTCGTTTCTCTTTCTCTCTTTCTCTTTCTCTCGCACGGAAAACAATGATCTCTGTGATAAGAAAAGGCGCGCTCGCCGCCTCTCGATACAGATTGCGCGACTTGCGACATCCATCGGCGGTTGCGTCGAGCGGACCGGCGCGGACGCGCGCTTCGTCTCTCGCGAAGGAAGCTGTTTATAATCAATACGGCGTCTCGCTATCTTTTTCTCTCTTCATCGGTTTGTATTTATATCGGATTTTATTTTTATCCAGCTATGATTCGGCACCTCGGAATGCGAAAACGCCACCGTCGCCGATCTCATAGCCAAGGTGACTGCGCCACGTGTTCCCATCCCTCGCGCTGATAACGCGCCCTTATCACGTTGATCTCGCGGCCGTAAACGCGACCATAATCCGCATATTCCGATCGTTGCACGTGCACGCGCGATCCCGTCGCGATCGAGCCGCGAATCGCGGCGCGGCGGCGGGCGGCGGGGCGCGACGTGAACCTAGACAAAATTCAAAAGGAGCGGGCGCGAGAGCGGGTGACAGTCAACTTTTGCCCATCAATGTGGCGCCGGCGGCGCTGTGCCGAGTGATAAATCGCGTGTGTACATACGTGCACGGCGGCGTGAGTTTTCTGGACACGGCCAACAACGGGTTAGGGACGAGGGCCCGTGCGTGCGAGCGAGTGACGAGCGAGATCCTCGGCTGTCCCAGAACCCTCTATCGCGCAACGTGACGCGACGACGCCGCCGCCGCCACCGAAGCAGCGGCCGACGACGACGTGCGTGGAGCGCATCGCAGTGCACGAGCGGGACTCGCTTGTCCGACCGACAATGACAACGTGCTAACCGTTTTTGCCGATTCGGGAGCCATGGCGAACATCGCGGCGCAGCGAATCAAACGGGAATTCAAAGAGGTTATAAAGAGCGAGGAGGTGAGTGAACGAGCCAGCGAGCGAACGAGCGTGGCGTGAAGTCGGCCGCGCTCGGACGACGACGCGGGCATCGCGTGGTCCTCGCGATAAAGGCCGCGCGTATCGCATCGCGGTTATGCAATCCTGGGAACTCACACGCGACCGTCAATAAATCTTCGTTCTGGCGAGGGACGGCAAGAGAGCCTGTTGCGCTCCGTCTGTCACAATATACGTTACTCGATATCCTCGACCAGCTCTGACGCCAGAGCTAAACGGAGATAAAGTCGAAGAGAAAGAGAGAGAGAGAGAGAGAGAGAGGAGGAGAGATAGAGAGTACACGCAGTCTTGCTTCTATCGTGTCGACTCGATCATCCGTCTCCGATCGGATCGAATCAGATTGGACCGTCTCGCCTCGTAACGAATCGACGACGTCGTGTTTACGTATGATGACGTACATTCAGCGCACGTTGTCGCAGCGCGGCAATTAGCATCTCTCGCGTCGACGTCACGGCGGCGGGTTTAATTACATCTGAATAATAGAATGTCGGAGCTATATACTTACCATGTTGCGCGTGTGCGTGTCCGGGATCCCGGCTGCACTGGGATCCCTGGATGGCCTTGCACCTTTTCAGATTGCTCATTTCGCCCGTCGCCGCGATTCAGCGATGATAAACGTTTTGTGTGTGTCTCTCGACGTGCCTTCACGAGCGGCCGAATTACTCCGTGCCGCCGCGACTTACGGTCGTACCATGACGGTTTCGTGAATTATTATCCGTCGCGGAACGCCGGTTGCGAGATCTCTTTCTTATCGTGTCTCGGATGTCATAGGTTATGATTACATGTTTATTTTGATAATTGCGCCACGAGATTGACGTAACACCACACGCGAATTTTACGAGAGTATAATTTGACAATGTATCTTTTTTTATTATACCCCCTCATCCATGATAACATAGCTGGCTAATGTTTCTTTTTTTTTCTTTTTTTTTTCATCGAGGAGAGAGAGAGAGAAAGAGAGGGACACGATTGGAAATAAATGTCACATATTCTCGTATTACTAAACCACCTAAAATATTACGCTACTATGATTTGAAACTTTCTTGATCTTCAATTGTCTTAAACGATTTCTTTAAACATTTCGTTTCGGCGCCAATGCATCATTCTCTCTTTGATACTTTGGAATTCTAGTTTTTGTAATTCAATTACTGTGGTATATTTTGAGATTCTTTTTAATATATTTTAGTGTTCGAAATATATTTATAAATGAAATTTTATAAAATGTCTTTCTTTTATAATGGACGTTTAATGGACTCTACAATGAATATGTATTAGCTCTATCATGTTCATATTTATTCTTCAATTTACATTTAAAAAAAGAACTTTGATATGTGCAAATTTTATTATTTTACAATGTGTTTTGCATGATATTTTCATTTATGCTTACTCATGTAAGCGTGTCTGATGTTTTAATATTTTATATGTTGTATAAAGTTGTTATATGCATTGCAAAATTGCTACTTGATTATCTAACAACTGTACTTATTTGTTTGTCATAGATAGCAAAATGTGCGATTAAGGTTGAACTGGTCAACGATAGTCTTACTGAATTAAGGGGTGAGATTGCAGGTCCACCCGACACGCCATATGAAGGTGGTAACTTTGTGCTCGAGATCAAAGTTCCCGAGACATATCCATTCAATCCTCCCAAAGTAAGTTAATATTTTTTAAGAATGTGAATAACTTATATATAGTGAATATATAGTGAATATTCATAACTTCTAATATTTATTTTAATAACTTGAAGGAAAGAATAAATTGTCAAAAGTATGCATAGAAATTTGTATTGCATAGAAATAGCATTTTTATTCTGCAGGTACGTTTCATAACAAAAATATGGCATCCCAATATATCTTCCGTCACAGGTGCCATATGTTTGGATATTTTGAAAGATCAATGGTATGTATATTTATTACATATCTGCTGATTAAATTACTTAACATAATTTTTTTTATCACATATACTTCTATATTATCATGTTTGATTTTTTCCCTATATATATATATATATATATATATATATATATATATATATACTCAGTATTTCTCAGTATTTCTCAATATTATTTCATTATTTAATAATGCAATTTATGTAAGTAAATTAATCTCATTATTTATGATAAAATAGATTTCTGAAATTTATTTCTTCTTTATTCATAATCTAAACTTTATCTAAATCAATCTCTTACAAAATCGATAAGAGAATGGGATAAGAGAGTAATATGAATTGAATTTTATATCCATAATCAAGACAATTATTCTCATTGTCTCATGTAGAATTGTGTCATGTAGAGTTATGTTGTCATGTAGACTCATGTAGAGTCATGTGTCTTTTCATAAATTAATTGTATTTTTCACTTTTATATCTTAGGGCTGCCGCGATGACTTTGCGTACAGTTTTGCTGTCATTACAAGCGTTGTTGTCTGCAGCAGAGCCCGATGATCCTCAGGATGCAGTAGTTGCTAAACAATATAAAGAACATCCTGAATTGTTTCGTCAAACTGCCACACATTGGACCTTTGTATATGCAGGTGGTACGTAATATCATACATTTATTCATATTTATATATAGACGTAATGTTAAATGTAATATTAAAATTAAAATGTATTCCTATCGATTCTCTAGGGCCAGCGAAAATGCCTGATTTAGATGACAAGATAAGAAGATTAACAGATATGGGAATTGAGGAACATAATGCGAGAGTCGCTCTATCTTCGTATAATTGGGACTTGGAACGCGCCACCGAGCACTGCCTTTTCAGTTAGTGATAACTATATAGTTAATCTGTCACATTCAAGAGCATTCATTTTGTCACAAAAATTTTCTTGTAACAATCTCATGTTCGGATATTGATATTATTAGTGATTTTACAATTGGAATTCCGCACCTGTAACGACAATATCTGAATGATAAAAAGACATTGCCAGAAAAAATTGTTCAATATTCACCAATAGTCAATCATTTATTTAATTTGTAACATAGGTATGAGAAAGAAATGATTATTAAAAAAGTGGCTAGTAATCAAGTAGCAAAATTTTTAGCATGTGAGGAATGTAGTGTTCCGCATCACATTCTGTTCAAATACCACATCACATGCTAGTTCAAAAATATTACAACAAAATTTAATACATTTTTAATTATTTTGTGTCATATAAAATAGGTCAGTGTATGCATCATGGTAAAAAAAATTGGTATTATCGCCGAATTTTTATTTTCTTCGGTTTTTTGGAGTTTTTCATTACATTGCAGATTTTCAGTTTGTACTTGTATTAAATTAATATTTTCAGTAAAGTTTAATAATTATATACTCATAATGCTATCTTTCAAGTGTAATTAGATGTTTTGCTCTTACAGTTTTCTATTCAATTTATAATCTATAATGCTTTGATGATGCAGAAATTATTCCCATGAGATATGATTTACTATTATGTTTATATTCTTAATACTGAGTATATATTAAAATAAAAATAATGTGTCCTTTTTTTCATTCTTTAATACAAAATGTATGTCGATATTACAATTTTATGTTATTAAATCTATCTTTAATATAAAAGAAAAAACAATAGATTAAAAATTTTCAAGCCTATGAGAAAATTTTGAATGTCTTATTTTGATTTTATGATAATCTCTAAATTTGTTTTTTAATCGAGAAAAATTCAATTCTTTTGGACCAATTTTGAAATCTCATTGTAATAACTAAGTAATTTGGTCATCACTGGCTTATGATAAAGTAATGTTAAAGCAATATACTGTATGGATGTGTGCAAAATATAATTCTTTCACTTTTCAGATAGAAAAATTATAATTCGAGCAAACCCAATTGTATTATTGAAGATGTGACCTGTAAAAAGATTTTAAACTTTATCGCTTTGATGTTAATTATCTTATATGTACATTTTTAGTGTTGGTTTATATGAAATGATAAAAAAAATTATCACATAAATATGTATCTTTACAGATATATCTTATCATTTTTGTATCATGTGCCGTGTACATTCCAGACTCAGGCGTAAATGGCATTTATTTAGTGGCCTCAGTTAAATTCTACATTACTTAAAAGTATCTAAATGGAGAAAAAAAGATCGATCGCAAGTTAAATTTAAGTTTAATTTCGTAACTATCATTATAAAATCATAAGAAAGAAAGTGCGTGAAAGATTCAATTAGCTCATTATTTGTATAATAATGTATATGATACTGAAATGCAGATAGTTTTTTGTACAATTAAATGTTAAATCATGTGCATTATACTGTGAAAAGATAAAAACTTAATTATAGTTTTACCAGTTTGTTGTATTAAATTTTCCTACAAATGTTGAGAAAAGTGATAGCCATCAGTCAATTGTAAAAATCGTTTTGCTTTTTTCTTTTAAATATTTAGCTCACAATATATTATCTTATGTATGGGTTTGTTTATGGATGTGGTTGTGGATACAACATCTGATGTTTTAATTGCTGTAATGTTTT